CGCCTCGGGGCGGGGGGTGATGGCGGGCGGGGTAGCGACGCCTCAGGGCGGTGGGGAGAGGCGCCCCTGCCGCCCTGTGCCCCATCCCCTCAGAAATGCACCTTAAACTCGGGGACAGCGTCGCCTTCCCTGAAAACCGGTAGCCCCGTCCCGATATTTGCCGATGATGGGCGAGGAGGAGGCGAAATTTTGCCCCTGGGGAGCTGGGGAGCGGCTTGAGGGAAGGTTTTAGCTGGGGAGAGTGTGTGAGATTTGGGGGTTCAGATTAGGAACAGGCAAGTTCAGTAGTGAGAAGGCTTGTGGGGCTGGAGAGGAGTGTGAACTCTGAGGGGAGAGCGAAGAAGGGGGTGACGGGTGGTTAGGATGAGGAGAGTTAAAAAAAGAGCAGCAGAAGGAAAAAAGGGATGGAAAAAAGAGAAATACTAGAAGAAAGAAAAGTACTAATTTAAGAACATTGGCGCATGGGTGCAAAAAAAAAACCAAAAACCAACCATAAATCCCACCAGCATGCAGAACACTCTGTCTGGTGTAACTCAGCTTTGAAAACTTTTAAAATCTCCTCAGCTAACTTCTGGAAGCGAAAGCTGCATCTGAAGCACTAAGAAAACCCAAGGCTCTGCCATCTTTGCTGTCAGTGAACTCCGTTTCCAAGTACAGCTGCATACATTAGCAGTCCATAATGAGCCTTGCAGAGAATAGCGGGTATTTTGGGGGAACTCATGTCTGGATGGCGTCTCCATACGACGCGGTGACCATGGTGCGCTCGCTGCGTAGGTGTGTGCTGCGCTCCGTGCAGCTTTATGTAATCCTCTCTTCTGTGTAGAAAGAGTTGGGATCCTGGAGAACTTGTCCCACACAATAACCCAGTAACTACCTAGCACGTAGCAGCTTCCCAGTATGATCACACTTTTTTTTTTGAGATTTATTTTAGCATGAAGGAGTAATTTGATTTCAGCCCTTCAGTGATTTACCCCTTAACAGTGCTCTTTGCAAGAGGGACACCGAACTGATCTCAGCAACCCCTGAACTTGAGTCCCTGCTCTGAAGTGGCAGAGCCCCAGCTGCTACAACAGTTCATCCTTGCTCCCTGGACTTCAGTTAAGCTGTGATGATCTTCACCAGCTGCTAATCTGCCACCAGAGCTCACTTGCAATCCACTGTTCATAGTTGCTTTTCCTTGGTTAGGCTTAGGGCAACAGCAGTCATTCACCCCACAGGGCTAATCCCATCGCACACAAAGGATTTTTAACACCTTTCCTTGCTTTGCTTTTTGTCTCACAGCAAACTCAGCATGCCAGGCAGGGATTTGTTTGGCTTTACCATCTTTCACCCATGTTAGTGCCAGCTGGTGCAGTTGCAAGTGCCCGGATTTTGCACTTTCCTCATTTCATATCCTGCTGCTTTAGATGTGATCCACCTGGCTGCTTCCTCACTTTTAAGGCTACTTATGACTATCACCATCTTACTCATCACCTTGCATTACCTGTCACAGTGGCGACTCCAGCCTCTTAGTCGTCAGTGACCTCTTCCCTTTTATCACAGTGTGCTGGTTCTGATAAGTGCCTTTGTGTGTTTTGCCCTCATGTTTTCAAAGGGAACTCCTCAGATACTGATACAACTCATGCACCATCCTCTAATTCTTCTAAGCTTTTTCTTGCGGTGCTCACTAAAAATATTGGGCTGCTTGAGTGAGAACTCCTGCCCGTTGTGCAGTGCTATCTTCTAGGTTTCCTGCTAGTCCTCTCTTTTGCCTCTGTCACCCAGGAAACTTTGTGTTTGTACAGCTCCTAGTGTGGTGGAGATGTAGCCTCTGACTTGGAACTCCAGGTGCTATGGTCAAATAAATAATCAATCACAATAACTTGCTGTAAAAAGATAACTGTTTGGCTATTAAATATTAACGGAAAAGAAGATATTTACCTCTTCCAGATTAACTTTCATAGTTAATACAAACAGGGTCTGTTATTTTTCATAACCAAATGCATCCTAGGGAGATGGAGAACACAGTTAAAATTTTGGTAAAAATATTTTACAGTAAGTAAATATTTGGGTTTGAATTTTTTAAATCTTGTTTGTATTTGTTTTTATTTAATTCCTGCACTTTTAGTACAGCAATGAGGACATGTACTTACCTGCTTTCCACTGCTGTGGCCACACTAGTAAGCCAGTAGATCTTTCTCCTATGTCTGAGAATCCTCAACTGACAAAACTTCCACACTGGTTTTACATAGCCAATACTCAAAACATCCTGTTTTGAGGGAGATTGCTGAGATTTCTGTAGGCTTGTTAATGCTTTGTGACTCTTTTTGTCCTGCAACATGCTTATTGATGCTCTCTTACAAGAATGTTCATTTTTAGACAAAGGCCTTAAAGAGAGTTTTTCAGACTGAGTAGGATCATTATCATCATCTAGTCTCATCTCCTGATGTTACCCTTATTTCATGGTAAACATTAACTTTAATCTTATTTGGCTTCTTTTTTTCGAAGGGGTATGCTGCAGACCTGCATTAGGGTGATGAAAAGAAGAACTCGGATGTACTGTGTTTCATCTCTGTCTCATGCACAAGTATATAGGTGAATAGCTTGTTGCAAATGCAATGTGGTAATTGTGTGTCCATGTGTCTCTTTTGAAGCTGAGAAACATGCTGGTGTGTCTTGCGTGACAGTGTCTATGGATGACATACAGTTTGAAGAGGCTGCCAGGTACAAAACCAGCTAACAGCAGTCAAATGTTTTCATTCTAGAGATTCTTATTTGGCAGAGATAAACTGAGGCATTATAAAATCTGAGATAGCAGGCCAATGAACTCCCCAGAGTCATGGGGTTAAGTCTCAAAATTGTTCTTTTCTATCTGTGGTAGCCTGACCCACCTAGAAAACAGATCAATTTCGCAGGTCAAAAATAAACTGTAGTTACTTTGACTTGGCAACCCAGATGCCAGGTGAGAAACTGATGGCCCAGTGATCTTTGGCTCTAGTTAAGTTGAATGCTGCAGGCCATTACTTATCTCTGTTAAATAAGGAGTACATACCTGTAACAGTTATTTTATTAATTTTTTATTGTTGTAAGTGCCCTTTCAGTTTATTTCTTGCCTTCTCTTCCTGTCAGCTCTTTTAAAAAAATGTGTTCATGTAACAAAACAGAAATATTTTGCATTTGTGATCCCCGAACATTGACTGAGTCTACAAGATAATACAGGACTTACTTTTTGTTTTAACAATTTTTCATGATTTTCCAAGGGATAAAAGACATTGTAAAAGGAAACAGCACATTTATTCCTAAACCATATCCTTACAGAAACTTAAAGCCATTACTTTGTAGTTTTTGTGTGTTTTTACACCTTGCCATCTGGCAATTAATGAGTGCTTAGATGGGATGGACCTGGTTACACAGACCAATGCACATGCAATTGTCCTGACTGTGAACCAAGCAACATTGGCTGTCAGATGTACAGCTGATGTCAGTTTAAAACTGTTTGCAGTACATGAGTGTAAAACAAGCATCCACTCACACTTCTGAACAGCAGATTTTTAGAGTAGGGACCATTAGGATGAGAACTAGAATCAGTAACAAAGAAGTGAACGTGGTCATACCAAATCTAGAACTCAAGAGAATTTCTTCATCTATTTTACAAAATTAGTTTTAAAGTGTTTGTCCTGCCTGTAATTGTTATGCGTTTTTAATTTTGTCCCTAGGAAAAAATCCTGTCTATGAAAACTGTACTCACAGTCCTACAAATGAAGTCAGGGTAATTTTTTCTTTCGGGCATAATATTTCAGACTTCAGTAGCTTCAGAGCAATTCTCTCTCTTGTTTCTGAGACCAGAACACAGCTTCTAAAATGTAATGAAAATACTTTTCCTTACAGGTTTGTTTCTAAGCATGTCTCTAGTTTTCCTTCTACTTGTGGTATCAATGTTTCATTTTTAACAAGAATATAGGGTACAAACATATGAAGTGGTTTCAGTAATTATTTTTCAGCCTCAGGTAATCCCTAACATCCTGTTTCCAGCTTACTGTGTAATTTCCTAAATTTTGCCAGATCTTGTTGATTATACAAACATCTTGCATAAATAAGAGAGCTCTTGTATCTCACTCTAGTAAATGAAAAAGATTTTTTATAAGTTACCTGCTCTAAGATTTCATTTACCTAACTCAAGTTACCAAATGTTCTCTAAGGATTAACTCTTCTGGGCATATTTCTTTTCAGTTGACATGGAAACAGAGATTTGCACAAATATGTATATTGCAAAACTCAGTCTTATGCCATGATAACAAATAAATCCCTCTTCCTTGTCTTAATATGCAGCAGTTCAGTGGTAGTAAGAAAATACGATTTTAAATTACACTTATTTAAATTTTGTTAGTGCTCCATATGTGAATCATATTCAGTTCATTCTAAAATATTTCAAAAGCCTTCTGCCAGTTACAAGTAGAAGTGTGGTGTCCTGTGACTTCTGCCCCTACATATCTATTTAAATGCCCAAGCTGATCAGCTCTCTCTGCTTAAATCAGTTTGTCCAAAGTCAGAATACGTGATACAATGTACATAATTTCATTTTGAAATAGTGTCTGACCATCTCAGTTCTGACATCTTTATTTTCTGATATGGCCGTGGACTTTTCTGCAACGAAATGTGGGTCCACCTGCATAGACTGCTTGGAGCACAGGGGGAGATGTCAGTCAGTCAGGGTATCTAATGTCTGTGAAGTCTAAACCTGCCTTGTTGCGGGACTGGCGGCTCAGGCTCAGTGAGATCACATCCAGCTTTGTTCTGTTGTTCCCACCCTGCAGTTGCGTCAAAGGCGGAAAGACCCAGGCTTACCTCGCTCAGCCTCTCTTATGCAGTGTTCTCGCACAGAGGAAGAGAGGTCACCAGGGAGGTGTCACTGACAAAGGTGAAACAGACAATCTTTGTACAGAAGAACAGTGCCCTGCCAGTAAGCCTGAGGTAGCGACTTCTGCAGTTCCCACTGGGACCTCGTGGACAATCCGGCATCATGATGTTCTTGACAGGGCCCATGACATCCTCTGCAAGCATCTGCAGAGACTCTGAACTCTCCCTCTTTTAAGGAAAGCCTCACACTCACTACCAGTATGTGTCGTGTTCAATCATAGAGTTCATCTAATGAATATATTCTGTCTTTCTTCACCTTGTACTTGTTGTTACCTCTGCTGCTGTGCTGCTGTAATTCTCTTGGGAGTTTTATGACAAGAGTCTTCAGAGGTGTTTCAGGGTACTTGACTGAGTTCTGTCTCTAAGCTTTCTAAAGCCTTTTTATGAGACCATAATGTTAACTTCTTTTCCAAGCTTGAACATAAATATTGTGTTCTCCTTTTTGAAAATGAGCTGTTGGCTTCCTTAGCTGTGCAGTTTAGAGCTATTACATTAATGGTTGTGCTTTTTCTTTGTAATGAATGATGGAAAAATTCCTTCTGAATGCATTCTTCAAAAGCTAATGAGGGCTATGTATCTGCAGATGGCCTTAATTATTTCCTCTAACCGTTCTTCCCCCCTGTCTACTCAAAGGCTTCCACTTATGTTCTTGAATATGAACAAGAAAGAGGAAGTTTCTGTGTACTTGGTTGTTCCCGTCTGGTACCATAAAGGAGCAGGTTTCCTATTCCTCATTCTAGTGTTTGGTAACAATTCATTTGAAGTTCTGGCATTGAGAGAAGCAATTTAAGAAAAGCCTTTAAATGTCAAAACCCTATTCATTAAATAAGGAAGAAGTTATAAAGAAATTTTTTTTTATAAACTGGGGTCATGACTGTGCCAAATCCTTAGCTGTAGATGCCTATTTCATAGGTACTGAAGTGGCCTGAGTTGTATTTTGCAGTCTTGGATATAGGTAGCTGCACTTTGCCTGCTCTGGAACTGATCTTTAGCAGTTTTAAGTCAGTCTAAATTCCCTGAAGGCAGTGGCCAGATGCGCAGTTATTTTGGCTGTGGGTCTGACTTACCATGCACATCCTGTCCTTTTTACTGCTCTGCTCAATAAGACAACTTTAGGGGAAACTGCCTTCTTTCCGCCCTTCCAGCATTGTCTTGTGTTAGGATATTTGGGGTTTGAAAACAAGGGTTATTCTTGTTATCAACATATAACAGGTACTTTAGAAATTCCAGAAGGAAAGAATTATTTTCTCATTTAAATTTGATTCTATGTAGGTAAAAAGGTACAATTCTGTTTAGGTGTTCCATGTAGGTAAACGACAAAGAGTAGTTGTTCAGAGGTATGGTGTTAGAACAGAAGGGACATGGCCCTTGTTCTTGGCCAAAACTTGGAGAGTGAA